CTGGTGCTCCGAGGGGCGGCTGCGCGGCCCTGCTGGACACCGCCCCTGCGCCCCGCCGCTGCAACACCAGCCATGCGCCAGTCCCCCTCGCCGCCCCTCCCTCCGGCTCCCGCTCCGCTCTCCGGCCCTCCCCCCGCCGCCGCCCCCCACCCCCTTTTCCAACTCCTCCTCCTCCTCCTCTCCCTCCTCTTCCTCTTCCTCCTCCTCCTCCTCCTCCTCTCCTCCTCCTCATCCTCCTCCTCCTCCCTCCTCCTCCCTCCTCCTCCTCTCCTCTCCTCCTCCTCCTCCTCCTCCTCCTCCTCCTCCTCCTCCCTCCCCCAATCAGGGGCAACGGCAGGGGGGGATAGTCTCAGGGGGGGGGGGGGCGGCTGCATCCACCCCCAGTCGCCCATTCGTCGCCGACGTGGGGCCGACCACCCACCCCTCCCAGGACCGTGCGGATTCGCATTCGGCGGCGCATCGGCGATCTATCGCCGATTTGCCGATCCAAGCTCGATGTTCCCCCGCTGAGCTGGTGCCCCCACATCGTTGCCCCTCACATCCCCTCCCCTCCGACGTCGCGCTGCCTCGTGAGGGGCAACACTGGTGCTCCGAGCCCGTGATCCCCCGAGACTGGCCTCCTCATCCAGAGGACGCCTTCGAGGCGGCCCCGTGGGCAAAAAGCAGACGTCCAGTGTTCCACGGTCGAGGTTGCCGGTTTTGGCGTTTGCGTCCTGCAGGCATCGGCGCTTGCGTGCTACCGTCACCGACGGCGCGCGCGCGCGCTTTCGCCGTCGCGTTGCGGTCGCCGCGCCATCCGTTGTGTCGTGTCAGAGCGGTCAATGACATGCCGAGGTATTCCTTCGCGTTTGTCTGAATGCCTGGCGCTACTTCCACAGTAGCACGGTACGGTGATGGGCTTCCCACGGTGCGGGTCACTGATACCCAGTTGCCTGCCAATTGTCCCGCCACAGTGCCAGCCCAGCATTCTGGGCGGCGACTGTTCGATGGGGCGCGCTGGAAGCCGTCAAGTGTGACCACTCGTGTCTTCAGGCTTGGGCGCGCCGTGATGTGAATGATGAGGGTTAGGATGGTGATGGGGGTGATGACGGTGATGATGATGGTGATGTTGTTGCTGGTGATGATGATGACTATCATGTTGACGATGATGATGATGATGATGATGATGATGATGATGATGATGATGATGATGATGATGATGATGCTGATGCTGATGCTGATGCTGATGATGATGATGATGATGATGTCGTTGATGATGATGGTAGTGGCAAGGATGATTATGATGATGAGGGCAATATTGATGACTATGCTGATGATAGTGATGATGGTGGTTACGATGCTGATGATGCTGATGCTGATGCTGATTATGATGATGATGTCGACGATGATGATGGTGATTCTAATGATGCTGTTGATGACAATGGTGTTTGCTGTTGGTGATCGTGATGGTGGTGGTGGTGACCGTGATGTTGGTGGTGATGGAGATGATGATGGCGATGTTGACGATGATGATGGTAATGATGCTGATGATGATGATGATGCTGACGATGACGGTGATCATGACGATGCTGATGACGATGATGCTGTTGATGGTGATGACGATGGCGTTGATGATGGTTATGACGATGATGATCGTGATGATGGTGGTGATGATGATGCTTCTAATGATAATGACAACGACGATGAGGACGATGATGACGTTGATTATGATGATGCAGCTGCTGATGATGACCATGCTGATGCTGATGCTGGAGATGATGATGCTGATGCTGATGATGGTGGTGGTGCCGATTGTGGTGGTCGCGGTAGTGGTGGTGATGGTGATGATGATGACGAGCGTTATGGTGATATTGATGATGATGATGGTGATGATGATGATGATGATGATGTTGATGATGATGATGTTGATGATGATGTTGATGCTGATGATGATGTTGATGCTGATGATGCTGCTGCTGATGATGATCATCATCATGATGATTAATTTCGTTTGGGCCGTCTTGAGCTGTCTTGACCTCCTGTGATACAGGGTCGGGGTCCCTGGGAGCCCCCTTGGGCCGTCATGGGGTCCTCTTACGCTGGCTTGGGGCTTTCTGTAGCCGTCTTGGGGCCCTCTTGGCCGCATGGTGGGTGTCCAGGGGCCGTCGTGGGGCCGTCCTGGGTCTTCGAAGGGCCTCCCAAGGCCGTCCTGGGCCCTGGGGGAAGCCCTCTTGGGCCGTCTTGGGGCGCCGTGTTCTTCCCTGAGATCGGGGCGGCGGCATTTTTTGCACACCGGGCGTTTTCACCTGGTCTCGATCCGCGGGGCCATCCTAGATCGATCCGGCTTGAGAACTGCAGCAGAATGCTGGGGTTTGGGGCGCTGGTGGTGAGTCTCGTGATGTTGCAATGGTTCTGCACCGCTGGATCTCGGAGCTTTCCCAGCGTGGGCCTTCAGACCCAGACATGCGACGTCCTGATTTTTCCAGGACGGCGTCCCTGGAAGTCCTTACCCTTTCCCCAGGACCGGCTTTTCGTCCTGAGTCGTTTTTCAACGGTCCCGAGGCCCGGCGAGGGCCCACCGGGTCCGAAAATAGCCCAAAAAAATCCCGCCCTGATTTTTGCTACGACGCGATCATGCCTGGGGAGGTCACGATGTCCTGATTTTTTTTACGACGCGGACCAGCCGTTCCGGCCCGAGTCGTTGGAGCTGGACGGCCTCCGAGGGCCGGGCAGTGGCCCTCGGTGGCCGATCGCGTGACCCAGAAAGGCCCCCGCCCAGATCGTCTCGTAGCGCGGTGGGGATGTGGGTCCCCCCAGTCCGCGAGGCCATCGGGCCATGTGCTATACTTAAGTCGGGCCTGTCCCCTACAGGGGGATCTTCGACGAAAAATACAAAATATTCCAAAAATAATCAAAAAATAATCCAAAAATGGTCTGGGGGGTACTTTTTGAGTATTTTGTTGACCATCTTGGGTCATTTTTGGGATATTTTTATTTTTCGTCGAGAATCCCCCTGTGGGGGACAGGCCCGACCTTAGGCTATTTTCGGCCCCGGGAGGCCCTCGCTGGTCCTCGGGACCGTCAAGGAACGACTCGGGACGAAAAGCCGGTGCCGGGGAAAGGGTCAGGACTTCCAGGGACGCCGTCCGGAAAACATCAGGACGTCGCATGTCTGGGTCTGAAGGCCCACGCTGTGACAGCTTCCGCATTTGGCAAGAAGTATGAGCCCATGGGGGCACAGTGCAAACACGGGCCATCATACATACATGCACACATGCATACTTATGTACTCATAAGGAGCTTAAACTTAAGCTCCCGTGGACCTCTGGGTCCAGGGACGCCGCCCTGGAGCAAAAATCAGGACGTCGCATGTCCGGGTCTATAGCTCGGGCCTCCGGCGGCCGTTCGGGGCGGCGAGCCGGGCGCCCCGTGGGAGTGCTCTCGGCGGGGCGCCGCCGGGCGCAGCTGCCGGAAGCCACCCCGAGGCGAGACATCTGCTGTGCAAGAACGCGCGACTATCGGGGGAGAAAAAGCACACGCAGACACAAGTCATCGTCGGCTCTCAGGAAAGCATGGGCAAATATGGGAAGTGGGGGGGGAAGACGACACTCCAGAAGAGATGGAAAAGCATGCGGGAATCCTGGTGTGTGTGTGTCTTTGTGTGTCCGTGGGCCCCTCGAAAGTGCTCCCGCCCACGTCTGGGCCCAGGCATCCTCCGCTCTGGTCTGTCCCATCCGCGGCCCCAGAGCTCCGGATGTGCCTTCGCTCGCGGGCTTTCGCCTCGGATCCACTCTTGAAAGCCTTAAGTCGGGCGTGTCCCTCTACAGGTGGAATATTCAAAAGTAGTAAAACAAATGTCTGGGGACTGTTGTTTGAGTATTTTTGACCATTTTGAAATATTTTTGAGTATTTTTTATCTTTCGTCGAAAATCTCCCTGTGGGGGGACACGCCCGACTTAACCCAGGGAGCCCGAAGCATGTCCCCGGGTGGCGAAATGAAGGAACCAACCCGCGATCGAGCGACATTGTAGCTTTGGAGCCCCTTTGACTCCACAGCCGCCTTGCGTTTCAAGCTCTTCTGATGGCGATGTCCGCCCTGTTTTGCTGTCGCAGCTTCCGCTCCTGAATATCATTCCTCTTTTTTCTGCGGCGGGTCTATCCGCTCCACCTTTTCGAGTCCTGTGGGAGGCATGTTCGAAACAGGTCTTGCGCCACAAACATAATAAGCCACATGCATATACAGACACCCTCCAATGTATTGTTCCTGAGTCTCAGTGGAGGGTGGCGGCGTATGAATCACCGCGGGGAGCCAGCGTCTTTCTACACCGCCGCCCTTCCTGACGGCACACGCCAAGTTCGTCGGAGGGTGTCTGTGCTTAGTGGGCCCTGGAAACGACAGGGCCGTTTTGTTACCGGTTCCGTTTTGCCGGTTCCGACGCCGTTTTTTTACCGGTTCCGTCGCCGTTGTTTGACCGGTTCTTGCTCCGGTTCCAAGCTTGAAGCCGTTTTTTTGTAGTTTCGGGTCGCCGTTGTTTTGCCGTTTCCATTTTCAAGGGACACTTTTTCGGAAACGGTGACAAAACGGCCCTGCCGTTTCCGGGGCCCACAAAGGCCCTCCCTGACGGCACACGCCAAGTTCGTCGGAGGGTGTCTGTGTATGCACAGTCAGCCCGCAGAGTAAGGATCAGCCACAGGTTACTCTCGCATCCTTCGCCCTCGGCCTGTCATCGGCCTCTTCGCTGGCCGCGCCCCGCCCGCAGAGTGTCGACGCGGCCTTCCAGGGCCCTCACATGCTTCTCGTGCGTTCTGATTATTGTTATTGTTCTTCTTATTGTTGTTGTTTTTATTACCATTGATAGTAGTATTATTACCAGTATTAATATGATCACTAATCATATTATTATGATGATTCTTATCATTATCAGTATCATCATTCTTATTACTGTTATTCGGGCTGGCTCTACTCTTGCGGCGCAGCTCCCAGCCAGAGAACCCACCAGAGCATAATTACGGCGGATCTGAGCCCTGGGCTCCCTCAAAGACCCGCGGCGCTCGCCGCCCGCCCCCCCTCGCCGTGCCATGGCGTGCCCGCGCCGGGCGCTGCTGCTCCTCGCCGCAGGTGGGGCCGAGGCTGCCGCCGCCCCGGCCCACTCGGCCGGGCCCCTGGCGCGCGGCCTCTGGAAGGCGCTGAGGCCGGAGGAGGGCCAGTGCGGACGACCACGGCCCCGCGAGGCCTTCCTCGCTGGTCGGCGGCCTCTCTGCGTTCACTTTTTGGGGGGGCCTGTTTTCCACCACCACCACCATAAGTTGGAGGGGGGAAGGAGGTGGAGGATGAGGAGGAGGAGGAGGAGGAGGAGGAGGAGGAGGAGGAGGAGGAGGAGGAGGACCCCGTCCCCCTCCAACTTATGGCGGTGTGGAAAACAGGCCCATCATTTTTTTTTTGGGGGGGGGGGCTGCTCGCCTTGGGCCTCCCGCGGGGCTGCTGGTCGCCGCGGCCGGGTCCGCATATGGGAGGGGTCCGTCCTTTCAGCGGCTGTGGGCGGGGCGAGAGAGGGCCGCCGTGTAGTCGCAGCTGGGCCTCCTCGCGAGAGGGACGGCAGCCGGATGCCCGTGGTCGGCCTCGGCACCTGGAAGTCCAAGAGCGGCGAGCCCAGGGGGGGGGGAGTTCGGGAGCAACTCCTGGGAGGTCAAATTCTGATTTTGCCCTGGTCCGAAATCCGGCTTAATCCCGCTTGCTCCCGCTCAATCCCGCTTAATGCTTAATACCGTTTAATCCAGCTTGACAATCCGAGGCCCCCTCCGGCGTGACAGCCCCCCAATGGGGCTTAATCTTTTTTTAATCCTCCGACGAATACCTTCCAGTAATTGCCTCCTAATGGGAGGAATTCGACCAGGTCTCCGACGCAGACTTCCTTCGCGTCGTGGGAGGAGTCACGGCGGGAGGTCCTCTGCTAGTTGCAGCCTTTGCAGGCCCTCGCTGGGCCCCAGGGCCGTCGAGAGCCGACTCAGGATGGAACGCTGGCCCATGGGCCAGTCCATGGGAAGGGGTCGAGACCTTTGTCGGGCCGAACGAAAGGGGGGGATAGGGAAAGAGGGGGTTACGAAATCTGCTGCATGCAGCTGGTTTTGGCCCCGCCGCCGGGCCCATTCCTCGATACATGGGCGCCTCCCGGCCGGGAAAATTAGCTACGTGAGCTGATTCTCAAACCCCCCCTTTGCTATCCCCCCCTGTCGCCCGGTTCGACATGGGAAGGGGTCGAGACCTTATCGTTAGGAAAACATCACGACGTCGGGGGTCTGGGGGCAATGTGGCATTTGCCTGTTCAGTCTAGGGGATTTGTTCTCGTTTCGGCAGCTGGGGAGCCCGTTGCGGCCCCCCAAAGCCATCGAGAGTGGATCCATGGAGCGGGCGAACGATGAAGAAACCGCGCCTTGACGGCGCATCGACAAAGAGAAAATACACATGAGCATAACATGGGGAGTATTGCTGCAGCGCCTCGGATTTTCCATGTCGGTTGCTTTGGCTTGGCGTGGTGCGAGTGATGTTTGCGCAGCTACCTCGAGCACCCCGTTGCAATGGAGGGCCTGGGAGGTGCAAAGAAGGAAGAGGAGGCGCAGGAGAAGGATAAAATACTCTGCCAAGCTATTGTGCACTTCAGCTCTACAGCTTCATGGCACAGTGACAGATTCTGCAGAAGTGCTTGTAATGCGTCCGGGTCGTTCCATGCCACCCCGAGAGCCTCTGCGTGCATATAGTTTGTCAACTGCAGATCAGGGCGCCCTCGAGACCGTGACGACTACCAGTTCCGAGGTAAAACATTACGATTACGAACACCCGAGTTCTCTGTAGGCTTGTGGGGCCGTCCCGTGCAAGTGTACCATATATTGGCAGCGTCCGTTACAGACAAGTTGGCGTTCATGGTTGGGATTCTGCAGGTTCGCGAATGGTTGCGTTGCCCACACGAAAGAAGACAGCGGATGTAATATGGAGTCTCGGTCGTAAGCATCTTGCTTGGCAACCGTTGATCTTGGTTCCGCCGACTTGTAAGAGCATACGCAGCTCCAACCGATACAAGAGCTTGGAAACGACGCATGATTCTTGCACCTTTTGCTTGTTTTTTGTTGGCTGAGATTCGCGTGCCTCCAGATTCCGACCAACTTTGGGACCATCCCTTTTGCTTCGCCCAGGCTCCGCGTAAGGTCCGCCCGAGGATTCCCATCGGTACTGATGCGTCCACCCACATAGACGGCATGTTCCTTGCATGTAATCATTTCACCGTTTGGCCCGTCTAGTGTTCAATCTGCCCGTTGTTTGAGCAGCACCGTTTCCTCAGCAGTGGCCTAAACTGAAAATTGGCTCGACGTACATCGGGCTTCAGGGTTCTGAGCACAGGGTCATCTGTGTAGAGGTCATCAGTGGTATAATTCAATGCCGTTTAGTTCGTCGGCACGTTGCAAGAGAGCGGGCGTGACGATGATTAACAAGTAGGTTGATAGTGGCATCCTTGTGCGATTCCATCTGCTGTTGCCTTCATATTGCCCCACAGATTGCCGAAACCTGCAGATACTCTGCGCCATGTTGACTATCGCTGGCGGGATACGGAATTCCCGTAGAGCATGAATCAGACCTTAAGGCCGTATACGGTCATATGCCTTGCTCCAGTCCAGCGAAAGACGACATATTTGGTGATTGTTGTCTTCGAATGTTGCGTGAATCAGTTCTCGTACCACCACTTGTGACATGGACCGGAACAGCATTGCCCCAGGGACGCCCAAGGGCCCCCACTGGACCTGCCATCAAAAGACGGCTCGGGACGAAACGCTCTCCCCAGGGAGAAGGTTCAGACCTCCGGGGGTCCACGTACACACGACGTCGGAGGCTTGGGAAGCACGCCGATGCCCTGAGATCTGGGCGTCGCTATCTCATTTCACACCCGGCGTTGCCATCCCGTTTCCGGCCCAGGGGACCTTCGTGGATCGATTTGGTTGGGGAAAGTGCCGCGGAAAGACGGGGTCGACGAGGGCTATGATGTTCACGATGTTGTTTTGTTCCCGCGGCGTGTGAGCCTCCTTTGGCCGCGGGCCCATCGTCGCCGCGGCCGGATTCGCCTCGGGATCTGGGCCAGACCGCCCACGTCATGAGAGAGGTCCAGGGAGCAGTGGCATCGCTGCGCTGTTGCTCCCCCCAGGCGAGGTGGAAGCCGCGGTCACCCACGCCATATGCGAGGCTGGGTACCGCCACATCGACGCCGCCCAGATCTACGGGAACCAGGATCGGGCGGGGCTGCCCTTCGCTTTTGCCCGCTTTCTGGGCCCGGGGCCCTTACGGCTAGAAACATGTTGCAGAAACATTGGGTCTCGTCATTATTTGCAACGTTGCGTTTTTTTCAGGATCTCAGGGTTGGACCAGGATACATCTTTTCAGAGCGTTCCAGGGCGTTTTGGATCAGCGCCCGATGCACCTTCGAGAACCGCCAGATCTCAGAGATCCCCGAATTGTCCGATGTTGTCCCGGTCCTGGCCTCGTTTCGCAGGAGGAGGTCGGGCGCGGGATCCGCCACGCGATCGACAAGTGCGGTGTCAAGCGCGGGGAGCTGTGGATCACTAGCGGGGAGCCAGGCACGAACCGCATCGAGCACGAGCCTGCGGGCCAGCCGCAGTCGGGCGGGGCTAGAACAGGGACAAATCGTTCCAGAGCGTCCCAGAACGCTCCCAGAGCGTTCCAGGACGCTTTGAGAAGGCCGCGGCTCCCAAAATAGGGATGCTTTACGGGTGTTTTGGTATACCCTTTTTGTGTGTTTTTTTTTCCAGGGAGGATAAGCCACCCAGACCAGACAATTGGCGTTTATTGAACGGCCTCGGGCGTTTACCAAGCTGCCCTGCCCTGTTCGACTCTTCCCCTGGGTGCGTTTACTAAACAGCTTCGATTGTCGGGGTGATTCTCATGGGGGTGGATTTTCTGCTTTCTATTTATTTAATCGCTTCGCTCATTCCGCCCGCCCATGTAGCCTCATCTCTGCTTTTTGCCCGAGGGATCGTTGTCAATGCGGCGTTGGTGGGGTTTTCTTGGCAGGCGTTTCGGGAGTCTCTTGGAGGCAGTGTTGAAGCCTCTTGAGGTCTCTTGGGGGCTGTTTTGGGGGCCCTGGGGGTTTGTTCTTGAGGCATCCTGGGGGCTTCTTGGGGCCGTTCGGGGCCTTCTTGGGGTTTGGTGGTGGTTCTGCTTCCTATTCACTGAACCCGAGTGCACCAATGATGTCCGTCGCAGGGTTGTCTCGCCCGGTGGCGGCGCCAGGGCCGCGCCCGGGCCGCGCCCGGGGTACTTTTGGTCCGGGGACCCCCAGGGGCCGCCCCGCGCGCGCGAAGCAGAATTTCTGATATAGATGCCACCGGAGATCCTCGCACGCCTCGAGTACAGCCAGCACACCCGTTGGCCCGTTGCACCGCATCGAGCACAGCCTCTTAGCATGGCCCGTTGGGCCGGCGAGTTGAGCCCGAGTGCACCAATGGTGTCCGCCGCAGGGCTGTCTCGCCCGGTGGCGGCGCCAGGCGGCCCCTCGTACTCGCCCAGAGGCCGCGCCCCGGGGGGCCTCTTCCCGGCCTCTCGGCGCTTGGCGCCTGCTCCTCTCAGGAGGGGGAAAAGCACACAGACGCAATGAATCGTCCCCCCCCAGGAAGATATGGGAAAGCAGTGGGGGGAAAGACGAAAGCCCAGAAAATGGGAAAGTATGGGGAATCCTGTTATTTGTGTGTATTTCTTTGTGTCTCCCAGGGCCCCATTCATCCTTCGGTGCCTCGCCGTCTGACGCGAGGGCTGGCTTCTTCTCCCCAGAAACCGATGACTGGACCCTTGTCGGGGGCGGCAGAGAGGGGGATGATGACTAGGGGGGGGTGGATATCATGGCGGGGGCCATGATGTCTCCCCAGATTTCATGGCGCCTCTTCTTGCTTCATTATTACGTCCCTGGCCCCCCCGCCGGGCCGCGCACGTGCCGCCAGCCATGATTGCGCTGCGCCAGCCGGATCCGGTCAGTGGTGGGGCCCCGGAGCCTTTGAATTGGCCAGACTCACTATACCAGGTTCGCCATAGCTGGTGTTTTTTCGAGTGAGGGCAGTTCCAGTTAGTGGAAATGGGACGGGGGGGCGCCCCTGGTACATATCACTAAACCAGGTTCCACTAAACCCGGTTCTACCAACGCCCGATTCTTCTCCCCAGAAACCGATGACCGGACCCTTGCGAGCCCCCTAGAATCGGAGTTTGATAGACCTCCTAACCATGACACGTCGATCGGCGAATTGGCCGTTTTCGGTTCGCGAGAGGGCGTCGCGGCCGTCATGTTTGCGGGTTCAGGTCGGTCGGTTTCGATCCTAGAAGGCTCATGCCTTAGAACATTGTTTTGGGGACCCTCCTTCGGCCCGTCTATCAGATCTGTAGGATGCAACTCCCCGGAGGTTAGATTTAGCATCGGCGCTGGCAACGATATCTGCGGTTCAAAATTGTTTATTATTCCCAACCCTCCTTGGTTGGGTATTCGTTTTGAATAAGGGACTGTGGTCTCCACCTTCCTTCCTCCCGCCTCCCTCCCTCCTCCTGCGTCCTGCTTCCTGCTTTATTCCCAACCCTCCTTGGTTGGGTATTCGTTTTGAATAGAGCACTGCTCGCGCGTCTCCTCCCGCCTCCCTCCTGCCTCCTGCCTGCCTCCTCCTGTCTTGCCTGCGGGGGGCTGCGATCTGTGAAACTGTCGCTACTTTCGAGGCCTGCTGGGGGGCCCAGCACAGTGACGCCACGCGCGGACCCAAATTAGACCTCGCCATCCCTGGGGGGCTGCGATCTGTGAAACTGTCGCCACTTTCGAGGCCTGCTGGGGGGCCCAGCACAGTGACGCCACGCGCGGACCCAAATTAGACCTCGCCATCCCTGGGGGGCTGCGATCTGTGAAACTGTCGCCACTTTCGAGGCCTGCTGGGGGGCCCAGCACAGTGACGCCACGCGCGGACCCAAATTAGACCTCGCCATCCCTGGGGGGCTGCGATCTGTGAAACTGTCGCCACTTTCGAGGCCTGCTGGGGGGCCCAGCACAGTGACGCCACGCGCGGACCCAAATTAGACCTCGCCATCCCTGGGGGGCTGCGATCTGTGAAACTGTCGCCACTTTCGAGGCCTGCTGGGGGGCCCAGCACAGTGACGCCACGCGCGGACCCAAATTAGACCTCGCCATCCCTGGGGGGCTGCGATCTGTGAAACTGTCGCCACTTTCGAGGCCTGCTGGTGGGCCCAGCACAGTGACGCCACGCGCGGACCCAAATTAGACCTCGCCATCCCTGGGGGGCTGCGATCTGTGAACCTGTCGCTACTTTCGAGGCCTGCTGGGGGGCCGAGCACAGTGACGCCACGCGCGGACCCAAATTAGAGCTCGCCATCCCTGGGGGGCTGCGATCTGTGAAACTGTCGCCACTTTCGAGGCCTGCTGGGGGGCCCAGCACAGTGACGCCACACGCAGACCCAAATTAGACCTCGCCATCTCTCGGGGGCTGCGATCTGAGATCCCCGCTTTCGAAGTGGCTAGGGGTGCTCAGGGATTGTAACTAATCAGCTTTATCTAGTCCTTGTCCTGTAGCCAGTGTCCTGCGAGTCTCCCGAATTCCGTCTGCAGACATATGTAACCCTCGCTCCGTCATCGCCCCCCTTATAAAGTGTCCTAAACTATTTGCGCCCCGCGTTTGCGCAGGGGTTCGGTACGTCGCCAGGGTAAACATTATCTGATATGGAAAATATCCGAGGGAGGCTGGTCCAAGGGGACTTGTCTGGGGAGGGGGGGTCCTTTTCCGTGCGGTGTTGTCCAAGGGGTTGTCCGTACAGCGTTGTCTAGTCAGCACGTGTACATGCCATTATCAGACATACCATCAGAAGCATGGTACAACCAGGGAAGCCCAGCGACAAATGCCGCCTCTCTTTCCATTTCCCCTCCTGTCCGTTCCTCGTCTCGCGTGCCCCCCAGTTCCGCTCTCGCTCGCACGCCCTTCTTCACCGCGCTTCCCCAAACAGCTGTGCTGGCTGGGGTCCTGCTGCGGTAGAAGCTACGTAGTTCTGGACAAGGGGCCATCGCTCAGGGATATGCAGGGGTGGTCCGGCCAGTTTCGCCGGGTACCTCCCCGCAACTCTGGTTTCGGAGACGCCCTGAATTGAGGTGGTCTGGCCAGTTTGGTGGAACACATTCTCGCAATTCTGGGTTCGAAGATGTTGGCGTCCCCGCATCTCTGGGCTCGGAGATGCAGTGCGCGAAGTGGTCCAGCCAGTTCCGGGCTCGGAGATGCAGCGCGCGAAGTAGTCCAGCCAGTTTCGCAAGAGACATTCTCGCAACTCTGGGTTCAGAGACGCCGCGCGACATTTTCCAGCCATATTGTCCTGCGACAGCCTCGCAATCCTGGGCTCAAAGATGCCCTGGCCTGAGGCGGTCCAGACCGTTCCTTCTGAGACTGCAGATGGGGCGACAGATGGTTTGGCCAGTTTCGCTTGGGACGGCATCGCATGTCTGGGCTCGGAGGTGTAGCGCGTGCGGCTAGTGTCGCCTGAGACGTCCTCGCATTTCTGGGCTCAATTTCTGGGCTCCAGTATGACCTGACCTGAGGTGGTCCAGCCATGTTCGTCTGCGACATGCCGCGCACAAGGTGATCCAGCCAGTTTCGCGTAAGACGTTCTCATGTTTCTGGGCTCGGAGAGTTCGCCTGAGTCATCCTCGCAACTCTACGCACCGAGATGCCTTCATCCCAGGTAGTTCGGCCCGTGTCGCCAGAGACATTCTCGCAATTCTGGGCTCCGAGATGCCGCGCGAGAGGTGCACCATCGCTGTTCCCCCAATACTGTTCTGCAGCGTTTGCCCGCTGCGGCATGTCACGTCGGACTTTCGTGGTGGGTCGCAGAGGACACGTTGCTTTCAAGTGTCGTTTGACGAGGGCGAAACAGCGCGCGAAGAATGCAAGCCCTGGCGAGAAACTAACAGTGGTAAGACACCGTGGATGTGAAGTAGCAGCGCGAACCACGCCCGCGTGGGGGCGATTTTGGGGGCTGCAGCCACACGGACCACGATCACACCGCACGGCATCCCACTCGCACCTGGAGCTCTTCAGCGGCCGCCGCACCACAACCACTGTTGAGACAATCGCCACAGCGATCTCCCCCTCGTCTTCCCTCTCTCCTCTTCTCTCTCCTCCCTCTTCTCCTCTCCCGCCAGCTCGGCTCCGACGGTACAGCCAAGACGCTGAAATGAGTAACAGTTTGGATTCGGAAGGGGCTCGATGTTCCTCACGTCCTTCCGTGGTTGTTCCTCTAGCCCTTCTTGTGCACCCATGTTTTTTCCCAACCATCCTGTGGTGTTGGGTCCTCGTTTTGAAGAGACAGCGCCCCGCGTTCCCAACTTCCTCCCGCTGCCCCCCTCCCCCCTCCCCCTCCTCCCTCCTCCTCCTTCTCCTCCCTCCTCCCTGCGTTTCACCCACCCATTACAGCGCGTCGTGTCTCCATAGGGAGCTCCAGCAAAGGCCCCAGTGGCATGGTCCGCATGCAGTTCCACCTCCATTTCGGCGCACCCCTCACACGTTTCGTGGCCCCATAGGGTGCTCCACCCAAGGCCCCAGTGGCAGGGTCCGCATGCAGTTTCACCTTCATTTCGGCGCACTCCTCACACGTTTCGTGGCCCCATAGGGTGCTCCACCCAAGGCCCCAGTGGCAGGGTCCGCATGCAGTTCCATCCCCATTTCGGCGCACCCCTCACACGTTTCGTGGCCCCATAGGGTTTTCCGCGGAAGGCCCCAGTGGCAGGGTCCGCATGCAGTTCCACATCCATTTCGGCGCACCCCTTCCACATTTCGTGGCCCCATAGGGTGCTCCGCCCAAGGCCCCAGCGGCAGGGTCCGCATGCAGTTCCACTTCCATTTCGGCGCACCCCTCACACGTTTCGTGGCCCCATAGGGTGCTCCGCCGAAGGCCCCAGTGGCAGGGTCTGCATGCAGTTCCACCCCCATTTCGGCGCACCCCTGAAACGTTTCGTGGCCCTATAGGGTGCTCCTCCCAAGGCCCCATAGGCAGGGCCCGCATGCAGTTCCACTTCCATTTCGGCACACCCTTCACACGTACCGTGGCTCCATAGGGTGCTCCGCCGAAGGCCCCAGTGGCAGGGTCCGCATGCGGTTCCACCCCCATTTCGGCGGACCCCTCACACATTTCGTGGCCCCACAGGGTGCTCCGTCGAAGGCCCTCGTGACAGGGTCCGCATGCAGTTCCACCCCCATCTCGGCGCACCCCTCACACGTTTCGTGGCCCCATAGGGTGCTCCGCCGAAGGCCCCAGTGGCAGGGTCCGCATGCAGTTCCACTCCCATGTCGGCGCGCCTTCACACGTTTCGTGGCCCCATGGTGTGTTCCGCCGATGACCCCAGTGGCAGGACCCGCATGCAGTTCCACTTCCATTTCGGCGCACCCCTCACACGTTTCGTGGCCCCATAGGGTGCTCCGCCGAAGGCCCTAGTGGCAAGGTCCGCGTGCAGTTCCACCTCCATTGCGGCGCACCCCTCACACGTTTCGTGGCCCCATAGGGTGCTCCGCGGAAGGCCCCAGTGGCAGGGTCCGCATGCAGTTCCATCCCCATTTCGGCGCACCCCTCACACGTTTCATGGCCCCATAGGGTGCTCCGCCGTAGGCTCCAGTGGCAGGGTCCACATGCAGGTCCACCTCCATTTCGGCGCACCCCCCACACGTTTCGTTACCCCATAGGGTGCTCCATTCAAGGCCCCCAAGTCCGCATGCAGCTCCCCCTCCATGTCGGCGCACCCCTCACACGTTTCGTGGCCCCATGGAGTGTTCCACTTAGGGCCCCAGTGGCAGGTTCCGCATGCAGTTCCCCTCCACTTCGGCGCACCCCTTCCACGTTTCGCGGCCACCAAAGGCCCTGGTGGCAGCGCCCGCACGTGGTTCCACCCTGCATTTCGGCGCACCCCTCACGCGTTTCGTGGCCTCAGATGGGGCTGCACCGACGGCTCCTGTGGCAGCGTCCGCATGGCGTACCCGTGCCAATTTTGGCACACCCGTCACACGCGTCGTGGTCTCAAAGGGAAGTTCACCGAGGCCGATACCCACACCTGCGTTACACACAGCTGCACATGGTTGGGCCCTTCGCCGGGATAATTTGAAGCCGCAGATGGGCTTCGTTCCTTATTCAGCGTTCCTTATTTCAGCAGCCCGATGGTAGAGGAAAGCAAAGAGGGCGAGGAGTGCCCGGAGGATGAAACGGAGGGGGGACGGAGCACCACGACGACGATGCAGGCGACGGCGGCGGCGGTTGCCTCGGTGGCGGCGCGCGCGCGCGTGGGGTTGCGCGGACCGTCGCTGCTCTGGGCGCAGAGAGAGGCCGCGCGAGAGGTGGTCTGGCGTGTGAGATTGCCCAGGCACTTCCGCCTGAGACACTGTCGTACCTTTGGATTCGAAGATGCCGCGCGCGAGGTTGTCCAGCCCGTCTCGCTGGAGACCTTCCTTGCCTTTTTTGGTTCCGGGGTGCCGCGCACGAGGTTGTCCAGCCAATGTGTCTTGAGCTATCCTCGCAACTCCGATATGCCATGACCTGAAGTGGCCTTGCCTGCGTCGCATGAGACATCCTCGCAACGATGGTTTCAGGGATGCCGCGCGCGACGTTTTCAAGCGAGATTCGGTTGAGATGTCTTCGTAACCCTGGGCTCCAACATGCCCAGGCCGGAGGTGGTGCGGACCCTTCTTTTTTAAGTATCGCCAGATGCCGCGCGAGAGTTGGTGTGGCCAGTTGCGCTTGAGACGTCCTCGCAACTCTGGGCTCAGAGATGGTGCATTCGAGCTGGTCCAGCCAGTTCCGCTTGAGGTATCCTCGCAACTCTGAGCACATATGCTTTGACCTGCGGTGGTCCAGCTAGGTTCGTCTGCGACATGCCGCGCACGATGTTATTCAGCCCATTTCGCCTGAGACATCCTCGCGCTTCTGGGCTCAGGGGCGCCGCGCGAGAGGTGGTCCGGCCAGTTTCGCCTGCGACGACGTCGCAACTCTAGACTCCGAGATGCCGAGTACGAGGTTCTCCAGTTAGTTTCGCATGAGATGTCCTCACAAGTCTGTGCTCCGGGATACCGCGCACGTGGTTGCCGATGCAGTTTTGCATGAGACATCCTCGCAACTACCTGGGCTCCGAAACCTGAAGTGGTTCGGCCATTCGCATGGGACTCCAGATTTGGGGCAAGGATGTCGCGCACGAGGTTGTCTGGCAAGTTTCGCCTCGGACATCCTCAGAACTCTGGGCTCAGAGGTGTCCTGATAGGATGTTCCAGGCAGTTTCACCCGAGACATCATCAAAGTTTGAGGTTCGGAGATACCACGCGAGAGCTTGTCTGGCCAGTTCCGCCTGGGACATCCTCGCAACATTGCGCGCTGGCCACGTCCCTGATTAGGAAAGGTACTCTCGCCTCAACGCCGGCCACATCATTTATTTTGGGTACGTGTGAAGTTGCAGGTCGGGTGCCAGCAACATCCGTGATTGGGAACGGTGCTCTCGCCCGAGCTCTGGCTACATCCCTGTCTGGGATTGGTGATGCCGCTTTCGCGCCGGCCACATCCCTGATCATTAGGCCTGGTGCTCTCGCCTCAGCGCCGGCCACATCACTAAGTGGGTATTGTGCTGCCGCTCGAGCGCAAGCCACAATAACATGCTGGGACGCTGATGGTGTGCATCTTGGAGGGGTTGTCCAGGTTGTCCGCGGGGTTGTCGGGGATTTTTTCTGGGTCGGATTGTTGTTCATTGAACATCATATGTTTTCCACTGAACATCATAATCCGGTATGATCCCGTTCAGTCTGGCTTAACCCGCTTTATCTGGCTGGATTGCAGTTCAATCCTGGGCTTAATCTAGGCTGATCAGGCTTAATGGCTTTTCGTTCTTACGAAGACATGGGAAGCGCATCCTAACTTAATGGATTTGCTCGTCTCCAGTGAGACTCCAGGTCGACTCTAGCTCGACTCTAGCTCGACTCCAATTCGACTCAAATCGATCGACTTCCCGCCAAAGCGTGGGCACCGCAGGAAACGAGGTCGACTGCGCGGACGTAAGCTGCCCGTACAAGGTGGCGCGTCACCGCCTTCGTTTCCCATGTAGCGTGCCTCGCTGGCGGCCTGCGTAAGCCACCGTGTAAGGTCGCTATGTCGTCGTGCGTAAGACCCATCTGTCTTCGTCGCCCACATGCGTAGAGTGAGTGGCTCCAGGAAGGTCCCAGAACGAGCATCTGGCCCATGCTGCGTGCGGCTCGTGCCTGGCTCCCTGGCCAGCAAGATATGGATGGTCGACTACCGGCAGGAGGACCTGCCGGCTGCCGTGGACCGGATCCTGCGGGAGCTGAGCCACGAAGCAAATGGGGCCCGAGGGAAGCGGGTCTTCGCGTGCGAAAAATCTGTCCGTCGCCGCGGCCTCGGCCGCGACCCTTCGGATACAGAGCGTCTTTTGTTGCGGATGCCCCGCGCGGAACGTATCCGTGCGACCGCGCATCCACGGGGTCACGCCCCGGAATCCAGACCGCGAGGGCCTGGATACGGTGACGTTCGCCGCTCGTGAGGTCTTGAGCTTCTTCAAGCTGCTTGCGGGTTCTCGGGACGCTTCAAGGGACCGGGGGCCCAGGACCATCAAAAGGAGCATGTGCTCGCTGCTTTCGAGGTCTCGGGGCCCTCCCCAGGGCCCCGGGACGGTCGTATTGCAGTCAACCCGCATAGTAAGGATGATCAGTTTCCCAGGGGTAAAACTACCCTTGCATCCTTGCCTGTTCGGTCGTCTTCGGTCGCTCCTCGGCCCATTTTGGTGACCAGCCCCGCTCGAAGAGCCTCGGCATGGGCGCCCAAGGCCCTTGTGTCCTCACCGCGCATCCTTAACCATTATTCGGGTTGACTTGAAGCAACTCTCCTCCTCCTCTTCATCCTCCACCGCCGCCGCCTCCTCCTCGTCGTGCAGAAAGCCCGTGGGGTCCAGGGCTTGTTCCCCCTCCGCAACATTCGTGCCGAGGAGCTCGGCCTGGACCATGTCGACCAGCTGCTGCTGCACTGGCCGGTGCCGCTCGAGAGGCCCCCCGCCGGGTGCCCGCCGAGCTGCCCTGAGCGCTTCGCTGGCACCGACAACGCCATGCGGCCTCGGGGCTCGGACGGCAACTACGTCCTCTCCGACCTCCCCATCCTGGCGGCGCGCGCGAGGGGGCCTGGGGAGAGGGGGGGTGGCCTTACAGTGCCGGTTTTAATACATGCTCCGCGTGCTGATCAGGTGTAAAAGATACAGGGAATTAGCACTAAAAATAACGAGGAGTTCATGCATACATGTATTCATAAGTTAGTCATGTATTAAAATCCTTTATTGGTTTAAAATCCTATGTATTAAAAGATGCCCTGTATCTGAGAGAGCAGGGGGCTCTCAGGGGAGGAGCAGGCGCGTGGCGGCGCCCCGGCGCGCCCCCCCCCCGTCCGCGCGGCCAGAGAGTCGCCTCGAGCTCCTGGCCCGAGCGCGCCCAGGGAGAGGTCGGCGGAGCAGCTGCATCGGCACCCGTTCGCTTCCCCATCCTGAGGGCTCAGGGGGGGGGGCTCGGGAGGGAGCTCCTTCGAAAAGGCCATGGGGGGGGGCTTCTCAGAAGCCCCCTGCACTCTTGAGGAGGCCGCCCCCCCTCGCTCCACTCCGTTGTGGGCGCCGCTCGCCGTCACCGAGGCCTGGGGGGCGCTCGTCGGCCAGAAGCGGGCCGGGAAGGTGCGCTCCGTCGGGGTGTCCAACTTTCAGCCGTCCGAGATCGACGAGCTGATCTCCGTGGGGATGGAGGCCCCGGCCGTGAACCAAGTCGAGCTACACGTGTTCTGGCACCAGCCAGAGCTGCGGCGGGCCATGCAAGACCGGGGGGTGGCGCTGGTCGCTTACTCGCCGCTGGGGAATCCGGCGCTGTACGCAGAGAAGCTGGACGGCATGTCCAGCCCGTTGATCACGGAGATCGCGGCGAAGTCGGGGCTGACCCCCGCGCAGGTGATGCTCAACTTTCTCATCACCCAGGATGCCGTGGTGGTCCCGAAGTCGGTGACCCCGTCGCGGATCAGCAGCAACATCGATTTCAGGCCCTGTGCTCGTGCAGCACGCGCGCCGCTCCTGGCCCAGGCCCATCCTGGGCCCAGGAGGGGCGGATGTCTCGCCCTGGGCGGCAAGGGCAGAGGGGGGAGGGCGCCATGTAGGATGACGACTCAGAAACGCCCGGGGGGGCCCGTCGCGCAGCAGCCCCCTTGGCGATGATTCCTGCGTGGGAGACCTGCTCGTCGACGCCGTCGTCGTCATGGAGATGATTTGACAGTCCTCGCCAACACCTCCCCCCAGTGGCAGAAGGTTCTGTTCTGAATCGCTCTCCGGGTGTCTGGTCGTGATCGTCGTCCCACATCGCCGATATCCAAGGCCCAGGATAGGTCTGGCCAGGGTCAGCGTGCCCGTGCACACAGCCCTCGGAAGGGGCTCGATGCATGCAACCGCGTCGTCTGGTCGCCCAATGAGCTGGTCGACCCAGCGAAAAGGCGTTCGATGGATGATCCACAGGGTCTTAAGGGTTGAGGAGCTGGGGCGTCTACATATATCGAGCTCCTTGGCCAACCAAAAAGACGTGTGCGCATCGAGTCCCTCCCGAGCCCCCTCGGCCTTCCTTCGAGATGGGGATGTACTATCCGTAACCACCGTCTGGGAGATCGGTCATCGGGATGATGGGCCTTTTTTTCCCCACCACCACCATAAGTTGGAGGGGGGAAGGAGGTGGAGGACGAGGAGGAGGAGGGGGACGAAGAGGAGGAGGAGGAGGAGGAGGAAGAGGAGGAGGAGGAGGGCCCCCTCCCCCTCCAACTTATGGTGGTGGCAGTGGGAAACAGGCCCACCAGCGGGGACCTCGGCAGCCGGTGGATACATGGACAGAGCTGGGCCGCCGGGCGCCCCGAGAGACGCCACGGCCACCGCCCCCCATGGGAGCTTCGGCTCCCCAGGCGGTGGGCGTGGGCAATCGGGCCGAGCGGGGAGGGGGGGGGCAGGGAGAGGGGGGGCTACGAAGTCTGCTGCGTGGTATTCCCCAGGCGGTGGGCGTGGATAATCGGGCCGAACGGGAAGGGGGGGGGCAGGGAGAGGGGGGGCTACGAAGTCTGCTGCGTGCCGCTGATTTCGGCCCCGCCGCCGGGCCCAGTCCTCGGTATGCCTACTACAAAGGCGCCGCCCGGCGCTGGGAGGCGCTGGGACAAATCCGCTGCGTGAGCTGATTCGCTTCGCTAACCTACCCTTCGCCATCCCCCCCTTTCGTTCCCCCTGAGATCGGCCCCCGCCCGGCGCCTCAGCCCTTCCCGCCAGGCTCAACCTCACCGCGGAGGACGTCGCCCGGCTCGAACGGGAGGCGCCGCAGGCGCGGCTGGCGAACCCGGGGCTGCGGCCCGGCGGGCGGCCCGTCTTCGACGACGCCGCCTCGGCGGAGGCCGGGCGGGCGGCGAGGAAGGCGGAGCTCTGAGCGCGAGGGCCAGCACCCCCCCCTCCCCTGCCTTTCCTCCTTCCCTCAGTATCGTTCAACCGGCCCCCATCCCCATCGTCATCCCCATCGAGAATCCCACCAAATTACCACCGCTGTTGGGGATACACCCCTCGAACCCCGAAGGGAACGGCCCACATCCCCATCTGGGATGGTAAATCGGCCAGTGGGGCCCAGGCCACGCCGCTGGGGATGGGGATCGGTTGAACGATACTCATTCCCTCCGCGCCCCGTGGCGACGCCCCTCATATGCCTGGCGTCCTCGCCACCTCATGCTCCGTCACCCTTCCCCCTGCGCCCCCTGCTCCCGGCTCGTCGTCCTCCTGCTGCTCCACCTCCTGCCTCCTCCTCTTTCCGCACAGACCCCCCCGTCGTCGCGGGTAAAAGTGGGAGTGCTGCGCGTGGTGCTTCGAATCATCCATTACATCACGGGATGTAAGAGCTCAGAGATTTATCGGGAAGTGCCAGTTGATTCTGCGCGTGCCCGCCCGCAGAAGGCTTCACAAATGGTGGGGCGCGGAGGTCCCGGCGGGCCCAAAGAGCCACACGGACGCCCCGCGAGGCCCCAGATGCCCTGGGAACCAGGCCCAGAGTAATTTGCGAGCTGTCGTGGCCCTGGGCGCGCGGACCCAGCCTCACTTGCTCAAGAGGCTCACGCCACTCCGCCGACCCCTTATAACAGTAAATTCGTCAAGAGTCGTGCCTCCGTGCCTGCCCTGTGGGCTAGGTGCCTCGGGGATGCATACGAGGGTCTTCTGTAATGCCTTGCAGGGGCCTCTTGCAGAGCTCTCGGGGGCATCTGATTGGCTTTAGGGGGCCCCTCGAAGGCCTCTTGGGGGCCTCTTGAGTGCCTCTTGGAAGCATCTTGGGACCTCTTCAGGGATCGGGGGTCGTTGGGGGCCTTTTGGGGCCATCGCGGCCGGAAAGACTCGAGATGCCGTTTCGTATTGCCCCTCGGCTCTCCTGGGCCGTCTTAGGGGCCGTCTTGGGGCCTTCTTGGGCCATCTTGCGGCTTGTTTGGGCCGTCTTCGAACCCTCTTGGGGTCCTCATGGGCCGTCTTGGGACAACCTCGGGGGCTCCTCGGGCCGTAGTGGACGCTGTCAAGACGAAGAAATCGTGTACGCATATCGAAAACGAGTATTCATATAACGGGGGACGGGGTCCGGGGGCCGGCGCCACGACCACAAATGTGGGGCCCTGGCGTCATTTTCCTTGTGTTTTACAAGGTTTCGGCGACCCGGGGCCAACAGGGCCCCAAGAGGTTGCAGGGAGGCCCCAGGAGGCCGCAGCGATGTCTCCAGACGGTTTTCAAGACGACTCCCATGACGCCAAGAAGGCACCCGAAGGCCCCGAAGACGCCCCAAGAGGCACTCCGAGAGAGTCCCAATAAGCAAACATCGTCGATTCTCGATGGGGAAACTGATATTTTTGGCGTGTTCGCCTTTTGGGTTTCCACTGCGTCCAAGACGGCACAAGAGGCACCCAAGCCAGCCGAGGATGCCCCCAAGAGGGCCCCAAGACGGCCCACGAGGGGGCCAAGCCGGCCCATGAGGCGCCCAAACCGCCCAAGAACGCCCCAAGGCGGCGCACAAGACGGGGACGAGGAACCGGAATTTCGCGCCTTTTGGCCCAAGGGACCCCCAGGAGACCCCAAGAGGCTCAGAAGGAGCCTAGAAGCCCCAAGAGGCTCCCATGAGACCCGTAAACACACCAAAAGAGGCCCCGAAGACGCCCCAAGAGGCACCCCGAAAGAGCCACAATAAGCAAACATCGTCGATTTCCGATAAGGGAAACTGATATTTGCGGGTCTCTTTTTGTGTCTTTGCGGGTCTCTTGGGGACCTCTTGGGGCTTATTGGGCGGTTCTTGGAGCTTCTTGAGGTCTCCTGGGGGCCTCTTGGGCAAATGGCTCGCGTTTTCGGTTCCTCGTCCACGTCTTGGGCGCCGATTTTGGGTGTTCTTGGGCGGTTTAGGCGTCTCGTGGGCCGTCTTGGCCCCCTCGTGGGCCGTGTTGGAGCCCTCCTGAGGGCATCCTCGACTTTCTTGGGTGCCTCTTGCGTTGTCATGGACGCAGTGGAAACCCAAAAGGCGAACACGCCAAAAATATCAGTTTTCCCATATAGGAAGTTGACGAGAGAGAGAGAGAGAGAGAGAGAAAGAAAGAGAGAGAGAAGCCGTGCACGTCAGAGGTGCATTGGCAAAAAGGGGTGTGAAACCACAGCGAAATGCGATGCGAAGCCTCCGGCGTCGCTGGCTCCATGCACAGGGAAGGCTTGCCAATCTCGTCATGCATAATTGCCCAGCTCGCCAAAATTGCCCCCCGCAAGGTGGACGACCCGGGAGAGCAACCGCAGCAGGGGGGCAGAGGAGGGAACGACACCCGGGGTCCAGGGCGAACCCGGAGCCGGGGGGAGGAGGAGGGCAAGCGACAGAAGACGACAGGGGGGGGGGAGGAGGACGAAGCCCGGGCGGCAGCCCGAGGGACGAGCAGGAGGGAGAGCGGGCAGAGGAGCGACGCAGGACGGCGGAAGAGGGAGCGACGACACAACCTGGAGGGCAGGCGGCGGGGGCCGAGCTTTCGCAATTCCTCCCTAGAATCAATCATAAAAATCAGCATCATGGAGCTCGCACGCCAAAAGCAATCAAATGTTTTGCCCTTGATGCCACTTGGCGTGCAACGCTTCCTCGCCGCCGGCCGTCCGGCAAGCAAGGTCGTGCACCTGAAGCTTCCACGTGTTGCGGGGCCGCCCCCTGCGGCGAGCCCCAGCCTGCACCAGCTCGAAAGTGCCGGGTTGGAAAATGCACCTGCGCTCGGGGCTGTTCCCTGGCATCAGGGCAATTTGCCCCAGGAGTTTCAACTGCCTGCGCGCCAGTACGTCGCTCAGCTTCTGAACGCCACATCGCTGTATAATAGTTTCGTTGTTAATGCGGCTTATGTACGAGTGCTTGATGCCCGAAATCCGGCGCAGGCAACGCACCTGAAAAGCGTCAATCCTGCCGCGCTCTGCTTTGTTGAACCAAACAATGTGTAAACAATATAGCAACTTGGATACTACACACGCATCAAAGACTGCTAGCTTTTTGTCGAGGGACAATCGCGCGTGCTTCCACAATTTGCACAGCGTCTCAAAATCGGCGCTGGCCATGCCTAGCCGGCGGCTGAGTTCAGGCCTGTTCCGACCTGTGGAGCTCAAGAGTCCTCCTAAGTAGACCATGCTGTCCTTGCTCGGGATGGGGGCGCCGTCTGGCTTCGTCAAGGCAGTCTCGCAACAGACAGGCAAAACTTCCAGCTTGCTCCAGTTGAAGGCAAGCCCGTAGTTGGACCCCGCGCAGTGGATCGCCCCCATCAGCCTGGAAACATAATCATCAATGGCTCCAGCGACAAGGGTGTCGTCGGCGTAGATGAGTTCACTAACGGGTATCTGGGCGTCTTGTGTCATGCCGTGTGCTTGGAAAGCCTGGCTCGCATCGTGCATGGGGACCGTCATGACGATTGAGAACAGGAGCGGCGATAGCGGGCAGCCTTGGCAGACGCCGAAGGCTTGTGACCATGGCCCGGACGTCTGGCCCGCCTCCCTCACTCGAAAAGATCTGTCCGTGAAGATGGCCCGAACTGCCTCTGCGAAGTGCCCGGGGGTGCCGAAGCGGACGAGCGCCTGCGCCAGGGCGGTCGGCGAGACGCTGTCAAACGCCTTGGCCCAGTCCAGCGCCAGCAGGACCAGCTTGCCAGAGCGAGAGCTCCAGGTGTCTTCAATCAATCTGCGAGCAACGAACAGTGCGTCCGTGGTGCCGCGTTTTGATCGGAATCCGAACTGCGTGTCCCAAATTCTATCTTCGGCACCTGCGTCCTTCAAGCGGCCGAGGAGAACCATGGCGTACAATTTGTACCCAATCGGAAGCAATGATATTGGCCGATAATTGGCACACTCGGCCGAGTCGCCTTTCTTGAACAGCGCGATGACGACTGCTTCGTGCCACGCATCTGGCACGGCCTTATCGGTCCAGCACTTGTTGCAAATGAGTGTAGCCCACTCGAGAGCCGAGGTACCTGGCGTGCAAATAGCCTTCCAGAACTCCCCCGGAATGCCGTCGCCTCCAGAAGACCTGTTCCTTCTCAGCTTTCGCGCAGCATTGCGAACCTCTTCCGGGAGAATGGGGCCTTCTGGGACTGGGAGACCTGCTCCTATAGGGGAAGCGCATTCGACATCTGTCACGGGTCGAACAGCCCATTGAGTTCTGGAGAAGTAATCAGCGAGCGTGTCTGCCCTTTGATCACTGTCAACCAATCTTCCGCTCGAGTCCTTCATGCGGCCCTGCCGCGCCACCGAACCTTTCCGCAGTTTCCGGATCTCGGCCCAATCCCCGGATGCGAGGAGATCGTCAAACCACTTCTCTCTGTCTGATTTGACCGACGCTTTGACCATGCCGTGAAATTGTTTTTCTCTGTCAAAGTCGCTGTTCTTCCTTGCTTCCCCTCTGCGCGTGATCAGCTCCAAAGTCGCATTGCTGATCCATGGTCGATGGCGAGTTGCCAGAACTGTAGGCAGGCACTCGCCAGCAGCATGTTTGAAGGCCACAACCATCGCTGTGTTCAACTCATCCAAAGTACACCGGTCAGAATCGAAATCTGCCACTTTGTCAGAGAACGCGGCGTTGAAACCGTCATCCACGCTGCTGCAAGACAGCGCTTGTAAGTCCGGCTTCTCGTTTCGCTCACGAGTGGTTTTCTCAAGGTCCAGGCGCACGCACCAGAGGAGCCTGAAATGGTGCGACGCAAGGGCCGCATCCTTATGACTGCGAACATCGTTGACAAACGACTGCCGGCCCTCAGGGCAAAGTAGAACATCGATTTGGCCAAAATGTTCTGGACGAGCTGGATCAGAAGGCTTGGAACCGATGTTGTAGCACGTTATTTGCGCCTCCGGTGGGTGGTCGAAGAACGTACTGCTGACTAGTAGTCCGTGTGTCCCACACAACTCCAGCAGCAAACTGCGATTAGAATTTGGGCCCTGCGGTGCCGACGGGCAGCCGAAGACATACGGCCCAATATGCGGTAATTCGCATGGGAATTGCCTGTGCAGCCTCGCATTGAAATCTCCGAGAAGTATTGGCCCTCCATGCCCAGAGATGTCTCGGAGAAGGGTGCCCAGAGACTGGTAACATTCTCTTCTGACCTCGTGTGGTTTGCCGTTGCGTGGGGCGTATATGCTGAAGATCGGCACCTTGCCCCCGCTAACGCGCAGCTTCACCACAAGCGCCCTCGACGACACCATTCTGAATCCGATGATGCTTGTACGTATCCTTGGAGATATGAGAAATCCCACCCCCGCTGTCTCCTGGTCGTCCGCGCCTCCAGAGAGAATCAAAAGATAGCCAGAGTCAGTGACCTCATACGTTGACTCTGGCTT